TAATTATTTTATATATAATTATATTATAACAAACTATAACATATATAACATAACATATATAATATATATAACATATATAACTTAATATAATATATTATATTTTTTATAATATAATTTTATATTATATATAAAAAGAAAACGAAATACCTTTGTTCGTCGATACATATATGGAACATCGTAATATGGCGGTCTTGGTTTCTTTTTTTCTTCTTCCGCTTTTGGTATAATGATCACTGACGCGACAATAAGTAATACGTAAGAGCAAATTGATAAGAACCTCCATAATTTTAATTTTGTCGATTCTGTATAAAAAATATTGGACTATTGTAAGATTTGATTAAACAATTAATTCTTATTTTGTATCAACCACCATCTTCCATCCCCGCGATTTCATATATGAAATCATAAAAAAAACGAAGTACACAATTTGTACAAAATAATTGTTATATTAATAATATTACCTTTTGGTGGAGGACAAGGAAGAATAGGTTTTTGAGGTGAACAAATAAAATATTTGTTTTTGGTTAAATTAGGATCAGTAGAACATTGGGAACATGATTCGGAATGGGATTCCATAGGACAAATATCTTTTACAGAGGAATTGGGAGCCGATTGATATGTCGTTTCCTCGCAATATTCTTCTTTTGGAATATCATTTTTACAAATGTTATTTTCGATTGGTTCCTGCTTCGCATTGTTTTTCGTAGAATCCTCGCAATGTTCCTTTTTCAACGATGATTTTGTATGAAATTTCGTTGTACAAGATGCATCATCATCAATCAAATTCATATTGTTATCTTTGTTGTTTGTAGATGATGTTTTTGATTTAGTATTTTTGCATTCGTTAATTGTAGATTTGTCAGTAGAATTATCATTTGTCGAATAAAATCTTATGGTATTTAGTACGTGACCTTTTTGCCAAGGATTATTTTCCATCGTTGAAATTGACTTACACGAATGATTGGATAACGTCCAAAAGAATAAAGAATTTGTCGAATGTTTCATACATTCTTGCCAAATACTTTCTTCCATGTTGTATTTATTATGAAATATTTGCTTTTGTTGAATTTTTAATTTTAAGGGATTACCAGGAACAAGGGAATATGACAATATTGTATTGAAATAAACGAAATCATTTTTGTTAATGAAAATCTTTGAGATTATTGATCTTGAATTTGATTTACACTTTGTGGATAATTGCAATGTTGTCGTTGATGTATATTTAATTGGTTTCAAATTTTGACAAATGGTCAAATCGAGGTTAAATCGATTTTTATTGTAATCGAATAAATACACGAATGTTCTTTTCTTTTCTTCTAACATTTTTTCACGAGACCTTTTGCTTAATATTTCTTTCAAGTTACGTGATACGAATGTTGAAATATATTTAGATTTCTTCGACAGAATTTCCATCAATCGTAATTCGTATTTTCCAATGGGGGATACAAAAGAACCTGAGTGGGTGTAAATCTTCACGTAAGAGCGATGATAACGTTATCATTTATTATCTACATTGGCAAATTTATCGATGAAAGGTATTATATATATATATATAATCATTTATAAAAAAAAAAGAAAAAAAAAGAGAAAGTATTATTTTCGTAGTAAAATATCGAATAATATTCGAAAGTGAAAGGTTATATATATATATATATCAATCCGATCTTTCAAAAGAGTTGTTTCGATATAATCGAATGAAAATCGTATTTTACTTCGACGTTTGATATTTTTCATTAAATACTACTTAATAATCATTTTTTTTCTTTTTTTTTTTTTTAATTAACTTTCTCAAAGTTCTGTTTAAGTAATGTAATTGTAATAATTTTTTAGATGATGTATTATCAGATTAAATTGGTTTCTTTTTTTATATAAAAACAAAAAAATTAAAATTATTAAATATTCCTTATTAAACGATTGACTGATCAACGAATCTTAATATCCAATAGTTTATTATACTTTACAAAAAAGTACAAATAAAACTATAAAAAAGTAAATTAACTTGACCTAAATATATATAATGGTTTTTTAATTTCTCATTCATTGCAATTCGTCGTAATTTAAAATATTCGAGAATTTTCTACGTAATTTCGGTATTTTCTTCGAAATTTTGAATAACGGACTTACATTTTAACCACGAACGTTGCCTCCTTTTCTAAATGTTTATGAATTAGCTTCACTATTTATAGCATTGCTTAGTACTGGTTGTTACGCGTATAAACATTTGCTCTAACTATAATGTTTTAAACGTTCTAAGATACTATTATACGTCTTATAAATGAAATTCATTGCATTTGAGAATATATGCATTGTTTTTATCAAAAATAAATTCTTCTTATTTATAATACTCAATGTGTTACATTTGAAATAGTACGATCAATATTTTTACAATTAGAAATAATGATTTTTCTAAACTTCAACTCTTATTTTCTTTTATATGAGAAGAATATACGAATCTTTTCTTATTTAGTATATTGGTCGTTTCATAGACGCCCGTTGCTCTGTTACACCGCCGCCTACCGCTTCGTTACACCGCCGCCTACCGCTTCGTTACACCGCCGCCTACCGCTTCGTTACATCGCTGCCTACCTCTGCGTTACATTTTTTCAAATTACATCCATTCTAAAGAAGTTTTCTATCCAAAAAAAATCACGATTAAAATTGTGCTATGTGCTAAGTTGGAAAAAATCTGGACAAACATATTGTGACACTGTATATATATATATATATATATATATATAATTTATTAATTATATATTTTATTAATTTATTATTAATTTTATTTTAATTATTTATTTTATTATTATAATTATTTTATTAATTATTTATATTTAATTATTATATTAATTAATATATAAAATTAAATAATATAGAATTAAATTATATATTGAATTTAATTAATTAATTAATTAATGTTTTATCGGTTTCACGTACTTCCGTTTCACGATTTTCAAATCACCCTGATTCTAAAGAAGTTTTCACTTCAAAAAAAAAGAAAAAAAAAATTTATATTATATGTTCATATACATACTCTCATATTAGTCTTTTTTCTTTTTTTTTTTTTTTAATATAAAAGGCGCATACTTACAAAGCACATAAATACCTCGTTTAGTATCTATTAAATGATAGCGCCAGTATGTCTGGCGCACGAAACGAATGAAAACGAACAGGACGATCGTATATGATAGAAAATATATTATCGTCCAGGAAGACCCATTTGTTCCAACCATCTTCCCACGTTTCTTGTTTGTTTGCCACTTTTTAACGAGAACGCTGGAAATGAAAGCATGTATTCTTAAAAACCCATTTCGAGAAACTCAATATTCAATATAATCTACGTTTTATCGATGAAACGTTTATAGATTATTGTTTTATTAAACCAAGTCGAGAAAACAAAAAAAAAAACAAAAATAAAAGTTCACTTTAAAAGTATAATAATGATTAACAATATGAATTATTAATAAATAATATATGCATCGAATGTGAATGATTAAAAAATAATTCAAGATTTAATATTAATCGATATAATTTCTATGTAAATATACGATTAATATTTATAAATTAAATATCACATTATCATTTATTATTATAGAAGATTACAAATGTTATAATATATATATATATATATATATATATATATATATATGATTTATGATTGAATAATATTGACGGATGCATCGAATGCATTTATTTTGAAATAATTAAATACTGATAGCAATCTAATAGAAATATTACATGTGAGAATTATTGAATGTTACGTTACTAAAAAAAAAAAAAAAAATAAAGGTAACAAAAATATTAATAATATAATAACATTATTTTTATAAATAGAATAATATTTCAATTCCATGATACTGTCAAGTTTAAAATAAAATAAAATTAAATAAAATAAAATCCCTTTCACATTTCGATAGAAATAATACTAAAAATCATTAACAAAAAAAAAAAAAAATAGAAAAGTATCAATCAAATAACCCTAGTAAGACAAATAATAATCCAGTATAAAAATAATGAAATAATTATGAGATAAACAATTAATAAAATATGAACAAGTAAAAAAAGAGTAATATAAACATGTTAGGATAGAAAAAGAAAATGAAGTAATGCCATTGGCTTTGATAGTAGAATAGAATAGGTTCATGGAAAACGAGGATACACTTTTTAGCCAGGCTGCGCGGCAACCTTTGACATTTGAAGAGGGCTGGCGGGTCGTTTTCATCCCCCTCTCTCATCCACCACCCTTTAGCATGAAGTACCTACAGCATGTAGATACTATATACCCTATATTCCCAACGATCCATTTCGCTAGTTCCTTCGTTCGTTCGTTCGTTCGTTCGTTCCTTCATTCCTTCGTTCGTCGTTCCTTCTGAAAATATGTATACAACGTGAGTAGAAGAAAATGAACACGAGGAATGAGGGGGGGGGGTGTCAAGGCTCGAAAGGTTGGTTGGGGGTTTGAGGATGGAGGGGTTTGTAGATACCCGCTGGCGTGAAAAAAGGCTCGGGGTTAAAAGGCCACCTGAGAATGAATTGCTACGAGAGTGTGCACAGATGTAAAGACTGGGTGAAAGGTAGAGGAGGGAGGGAGGGAGGGAGAGGTAGGGGGATGGGGTAGAGGAAGGGGGAGGTGTCGATAGGGTCGTCTAGTTTTTCGAAGATTCCTTCTATTCGATCTGTTCGATTGAAATATTATTTCTATGTATATTATTGTACGTGTAACTGTGACAGTGTTATGTAATATTTCTATGAATATGTTTTTTAAATGCACAATGATATTTATCAAATGATATTACTTTTGTTAATTACGATATTAGGATTTGTTTCATTTATTGACGATTTAATTTTAATTTGAATTAATCGAATTTAATTGTAATTAATATTATTACGTCGTGTCGAGTTTCATTCATATGAAATATATATTTGATATAAAAGAGATGAAAGAAATCTTATTTTTGTTTTTTTTACGAGATTTATCAATTACGTTGAATTATTTTCTTTTATCGTCATTTTGCGTGTATCTTTTGTTATTAAATGATTTTATTTTGACCCCCACCCCCGTTTCGTTTACTTACACGCAACACAAGATTAATAATATATTCTATCTCTTTTTGTTTTCTCCTTTTTTTTTTTGTTTCCCAAACTCGTTTCAGTAAATCTCAAGTTTGAAAATGTCGCTCGCGGGTAGACCTTTACTCTTAAACTTAAAAGGACAATTGCAAAAAGTAAGTTTTAAGCTTTGACGTTTCTGGATGATTTAATGAAACGAAAATACTTTGACATTTGTATTTATTTGCCAATAATATATTTCCATTTAGGAAACATTCCAACTCAAAGGTCGAGAGAATTATTTTTGAACTAAGAATGAAAGAGAGAGAGAGAGAGAGAGAGAGGGAGGGAGAGAAAAAGAGATAGATAGATTTGAA